AGCTGTAATTGCTAACCATTAGCAAACTGGGCTGCACTTTGCTCCTTGCCAGAGGAAACGCAGAGCGTGCCCTATAATTCATCTTTCTGACCCAGTTGATCAGAAACATTACTGGGACTGGCAGGAGCTCGTTTGACAGAAGGCATATCAGCAAGAGCTTTTGCTCAGTCTCGCTCCACTGGCCGCAACAGAAGTTAGTACCAGAGCTATTATCCTAAGTAACTGCTCTTCTTGCTGTAATTTTTAATGCTTGCTTTTAGAAAAAGAAACAATCTGTTTTCTTGGTATGCAACAAATAACAAGAGGAAGCTCATAGACAACGTCATTAGACCATCTTGTAGTTTGCAGATGAAAGTCAGGAACACAGAAAAATGTCTTACTGGCTAATCAGGAAAATGACCTGAATTGTAATGCTAAGTTCAGCTGAATTTTTTTTGTAAGGCAGTATTGGTCTGACATTATCTATAGGAGCCTAAGCCTATGGAAATATTTAGGAACGGCTATTAAATTTAAAAATCAAGATAAATATGCTATTGTTTATTTTTCATCACATCACCTGACTTGCCCCAGTAACATCCTTCGTGCCAGTCTGACTGAGAAGGAACAAAAAGCTGTAAGCGCCTCCTCCTTCAGATGAAGAACAGCATTAAAAATAATTCTTGCACCAACTGTTTTCACAGTTTTAAGTACCCGTGTAGTTCAAGTAAAATCAGACTTGTCTAATGAGCAATTCGGTGATAGAGTAGGAGTTAGAATCTGGCTCTACTGTTGCAGTTCTGTCAATATACTGCATCGACTTCTCTGGAGTTAAGTACTTAAAGTTATAACTTATTTTATTCAAGTCATTGTTTATTTTTAACAACAAATCATTATCAGAAGCTGCCTAGGTCTGTAGGCATGTGCTAGATGGCACTTCTATTAGTCGTGCAGTTGAGAACGGTGCATCCAGAATTCCACATAGCTAAATTTGAATCAGATAGATGTGGATATGTTGGCTAGGCATGGCTGGAAGTGGTAAATACCTGTTCTTGCAACTACGGTTCTGCCTGACAGGAAATTCTGATGCATTTGCATTGACACTGATGCAGTGAACTGTCCAGGATCACAGATATCCATACAGGATAATCCTTGTCTGCTGTCTCTCTACTTACTTCTCGCTACTCGTTATAATTGGACATAAACTGTAAAATGTCTGGGATCTGTCAAAAAAACTTAAATAGACAACAGCCACCCTCCCCAAGCCCCTACTGTTTTGTTCTTAATTTTTCACCCAAGATACTCTCCTTCTGAGGTGACTTAAGAGTTCTTGCTCAGAAAGTTCCCTTAAAGTTGATGGGGAATTTTGATCACATCAGAGCAGACGCAGTAGCAGGGAAGAAATCTTCAAGAATTGTTGTGAAATTTCCACTTCATTTTTCATGTCACGGAGGGATTTCCCCTTCTTTCCACTCCTGTGGAACAAGAAGTAACTTTTTGTCTGCTGTACTTGTGGGACCTTTGGGAATTCCTAGCCATACTTAAAAAGACTTAACCCCTCAGTGCCCTTAGGCTTCCCTTTATTGCCCCAGCTGACTGCTCTTGTCATTGGCTTGCAGTTTTCACTAGCCACTGTTCTGTTAAACCAGCCCACATTGAGAAAACTCGAGTTTTGACTGCACTTCCATAACCCTGCTGTGCATCCCAAGCATCCATACTTGATTTGCCCTATTCTGAAGTTTCATCAGCCACCCAGCAGTGCAGATCAGCAGGCAAAACCAGCAGCAAGAGCTTTCTCTCTGCCATCTCTTTCTTTTGCTTATGTGGGAGAGGAAGAGAAAACCACTGTCTCTTAGATCAGCTAAAGATGGGTAGATTGTTCATACTCTTCCCCCCAACCAGTCCCCTCCCTTGGCTCACTGTGGGCGGGGATGACCAGAAATCTTTTGACAAACTCTGAGGTCAGTGGGCCTGTACATCATTTAGGCTTTCCTGCTGTCTGCAGACTTAAGGCTTTTGTGTTCCAGTCATTCTTTTTCAATTTTTATTTTGCAGCAACAAAATGCGATGAGTAAAACAAAGTGAAATTGTGAAGTAATTCTGTAATCTGCAGGTCTGAGGTCTGGGCACAGATTGTTTACAGTTTTCACATTTTCTGTGTAGAATCTTGGTACCAAAGGAGATGCAGTAGAAGTGCGAAAGGGGTGCTTTGCCCGTAGCAGAACAAACACTACACTTCCAATAACAAGGCTGATCTCTAAATCATTTCTTTCAGAAGTAGTAGGCCAACACACTGTATTAAATACTGACAGGTCTGGTTTGGAGAGTGGAGATGTGAAGGAACAAGACTGTGCATTTTTTACACACACACAAATGAAATTTGAAAGCTACAAGTGTGATTTTTTAGGAAGTGTGCAGTGCTCGGATTATGAGAGGCGGAGCAAAATTACCATATTCCCTGGCCTAATTCCTCCCTAATTGAGGAAGTGGCACTGAGGCACTGAGCTAAGCATACACCTCACTAGACACCTGAGACTCCAGATGCTGCAGCCTGGGGGGAAGGTGTGGAGGGAGGAGGATTTCAGGCAGCTCCTAAGCAACCACCTGCTACCAGCCTTCTCTGTTTCTGGGTCAGTTAACTTCAGGTGCCAACTTCCTCAGCTGGCTTTGACTTGTAGTAACAAAGTCCTGGGATTTACCACTCTAAGTGTCATCATCACACTTGCCTTTAGGAGTCCGCCCAGGTAAAAAGTGCTAAAACAATGCAGCCAAATATATCGGCAGGTACAGGTTATGGTGATGTTGCCCTGCCACTTGAAGTAGAGCTGTGACTTGCAAGTATTTCCTAGAGCAATACTCCTGAAGGCTCCTGACAGCTATGCTGAAAATGGAAGCCTTCCCTATTCAGTTTGGGATCAGAAAACCCACTAACATTTCTTTCTCCCTTTTAATTCATTTCAGGGGGTGTCTGTCAAACAAAGGCTCAGCAATCAAAGGTGGACAGCTTCCTGTCGTACAGCAAGTCATCTCACCTCTCTGGGAGGGCTGCAGTTTAAATTGCATCTCTCTGCAGCTGAGCACAAGCGAGGGTGCGAACTGGTCCAGGAGAACTGCAACTGGTCAAGCCTGGCTACACCAGCAGGAACCAACAACGTCCCGACCACATATCCTGCGGATGCTGACACAAACGCTCAAGGCAACTGAACAATCTCTAGCTTGTCCAGTTTCTTCCAGCTATTACTGCATTGTAAATAGCTGCCCATTCAGAAGTTTGTTCTGATTGATGTCCATGTATTACCTAAAAATGAGGTAAATATTCTTACACTTGGCTTGACCAAGTGTATAGAGAAACTATAGAGCTTCTTCACAGGTTTTGAGGGCTCTTAGTCTAAAAAAAAAAATAAAATAATATCCAAAACTTCATGACTGTTTCTGGATACCTTTTCTGAAACTTTCTCTTGGGATCTCCACTTCTAATGAGGAACTGTTAATCTTCTGAGATAAAACAACTTACAGTGCATTTCATACAGATAGCATGCAGTATTTATCTAAAATATAATAGTATTTCTGCTGGAACAGTGATTACAGCAGTGCTGAGAGTGAGTGCAAACCAGATTGTGTGGATTCCGAGTAAAATCACCTAAACTGGTTTTATCAAATCTCTATCTTGATATTATGAAATCTCAGTATAAAATGTTTTTCAGGAACTCATGAGCCAGCTAGTGTTATTGACACGTGACTACTACATGGGCTATCAACTTCTACTAGCCAGTCTCTAATTCTTAGAAACTGCTTGATGCCAAAATCATTACTGCCTAATTAGAGCCCACAAGAAGCAAAATGATGAGCCAGGCAAGTTCTGTAGTATTGTGAGCACAATTGCATATTATGTACTGTTGCCAGATCCAGGGAGTGTAGCAGTTGGTTAGACAGGCTTTTACAAAAATGCTTTTGTAGTTGCCTTTAAGGGCTAGTCGTTTGTTGGCAGTTATTTCACCCATGGATCACCAGATTCTTATTCAGATCCAAGAATGCAGATTTGTCCTATGCTCTTTATTTCTTTCACAGGACTGTGAGTTCACTCTGAAGATCTGGTTTGAGAGGAAAGGACCTGATTTTTGCTGAAAATGTGTCATTATGAGAATCCAAAGTAATTTCACTATGCAACTTTATTTAAAAAAAAATTAAAACCCCTGGAATACAAACTGTGTAGTAATATTTCAAGGTCTGTGATTTATTTTTCTAATGTCTTACTTAAACATTCTCTTCAGTTTCACAGATGGGGAAAAGGTCATGATTGGAATTTTTTTTTCTGATCTTCAACCATTAGGACAAGCCAGTATTTGGGTTAAAAAAACTGATCTGTTTAGCTGTTGCTGTGATGTTTTTCAAAAGGACAATTTCAGTCACTTCTACTGTACTGTTTTGGCTGAGCAGTGTGTCAAACTAAAGGTACCTGGAAAAATGCTGCAGCGATTGAATTTCTACTACATGGAAGAGAAGCTGGATTTAGGTCCGAGATTTTGTAAAATGCTTTGTCGATGAACTCCATCATCTGTTAAGCAGATACGGTCCCGTACGTTAATGCAGCCGTGGAGCTTCGAAACAGAAGTGGCAAGAGACAGCTTCAGGACAATGGCAGAGGCAGGGACACCGCCTGGCATCCTTCGCGTCCCTGGAACCAGGTCGCGCTCCTCTCCCCCCGCTCAATCCCTCCCCAAAGCCGCGTTCTGCCTTAACGCGGGTGTGCCTGGATTTCACCTCCTCCCACAGCCCGTCCTCCCTCCCCCGGCAGGCCGGAGTATGGGGGGTGTGTGTGTGTGCGGATGCTGCGGTTCATCCCCCCCCCCGCTCCCCTCCGCTTTTTTCCGCGCTCGAGCGCTGCAGCCGCCGCCCCGCCCCTGTCTCACTGCGGCGCGGGGGGAGGCAGGGCCCCGCGCCGGCGGAGGGATCC